TGCAGCAGCAGTGCCAATGAATCCTCTAATATAGTGATGGTAATCCAAGAACTTAAGAAGTGTTGAGTTCTCTGCCTCTCTACTAGTATGGATCCTCATTCTTGTTCCTGTCATGTCATTTTGGATTTGCTACATTTTAAAATTTAGAAACTTTTGGGTCTAGTACTAATAGTAGCATGTATAGGGAATCATTTTCAAAACAGAAAAAAATCCCTACCAGTCATTGTAATAGTATGAATACTAAATTGTTGATGCCATGCAACTGCTACTAGTTAGTAAGTACTTGTACCAGACAGTTGTAGTGCCAGGCAACTACTGCTGAGGGACACCATGAAACAACCAATACACCTTAAATTAACAGGCTACACAGCTGGAAGCAGAATTCAATAGCAGAAACCACTGTGAAGTACTACAAGGTCCAAACTTCGACGCAGAAGGAGTGAGGACTGCTGGATAGGATGTTACATTTTGTATCTACCAGCAATATACATCACAAAGATCAGCAAATGTATGACTAGTACAATATAGTTTTTTGGCAACATGACAAAGCAAAACAGAAGTACTAGTACTGTTACTAAAAGTGTTACTACTAGTAGTTGTGATTGTTGTTCTTGGCACATATTACTACTAGCTACCACCAGTAGTGGCATTGGTATTCACCATCACAACAACAGGAAACTAAAGCTTAAATATCAGTTTGATAAACACTGATTCTATACAGCTAGTAGTATCAAATGTCAATTAAAAAAATTTAATTGTTAATGCAAAATGACAGGGGCAATAAGAAACTTTCTAGAGAAACACTAATTTGAATCTTTCTACTAGTTGCAGTTGCACTATAATTCCTTCTTGAAAAGGTCAATTTGAATTAGAACTTTTCCACTCCTGCTGATAGCAAAATTGTTGATTCATTTCTTTGAAAATGAAAGGGTTACTATCATAGCATTCTCAAGAGAAATCAATTTGATAATGCTGGTTCAAAATTACTTGTGTGTTGAGAAAGAAGCAGAGTTGGGGTTTGCACCATAGATCTTTAGATGCAGTACTACTAATATATTGTGCATCAATAGTCCTTGTGATTGAAGGGGTGGGAACCATGCATAAATGATTTATATTGATACTACTTTTAGAATCTGAATATTCCGTTAATGAATAAATGCCTCTATGTTAAATATTTTTCTATGGAAATTCTAGTTTACAATTTTGAAGTTAATAAATGCTCTCATCTTCCGGGAGACACACTGTACAACAAGCACCCACATTCTTGCACATTTCGCAATTAGCATAAATTTGAATATTGAGTCCGCACATTTCAGATGGTATGCCAACAGACTTGTTGAATCCATTTCCAAACACTGAAAAATACTTCAGGTTAGGAATATTTCCAATTTCTGTCGGAATGGTTCCAATCAATTGATTGAAGTCAGCTTGGTAGAACACGAGCTGACTCATTGTTCCTATTTTGGAGGATACCGTACCCGACAAAATATTTCGATCAATATCTATGAATCGCAGCGTGGTGGAGCTATAGAGTTCTTCGGGAATAGGACCAGAGAGGATGTTCCGGTCAACATCCAACTTTTCCAGATATTGCATACCTCCTAGCCAGCTTGGAAGATGACCTACCAAGCTATTGCTATCAAGATCTAACTCTTCCAAGTGGTAGAGAAACCTGAGTTCTTGTGGAATCGATCCCTTCATATTATTTTCATCTGCATGAGTACAGATTATTGGAATAAATTTGTGAGAATCGTCCAATTTCGAAGCACGAAGAAGAATAAGAAAAAAGACTTACMAAGATTAAGATTTGTGACACGCTGCAGAGAGTCACACGTGACACCTCCCCAATCACACTCATTCGAATCACTGAGAAATCTCTCACCATCGCACGGTGTATTCACATCCTTGGAACATTTATTCCAATCATCACCAGATGTATAGAAGTATAGAAGTGCTAAGATATATCGTTGAGTGAAGTTTGCCTCGCCCGGACAGACTTCAAGCGGATCTTCGGTTGCGATCCAGGAGCTTGCGGTGAACACAGGGTGCTGAGGATCATCCAGTGCTTCTCTCCCAGAAAGTGAGCTTATGTATTCAAATATGTGCTTCCTTCGATCTACCATAGATGCAGTCTTGCACATATCTTCATTGCGCCCTGATATCGTAGGAGGATCAACAGTTGAAATGTTTTTCGTTGGCCCTCGTGTTGGTGGAGATGTTCGACGCTTCGCAAAAATTCCGGGAGGCAACCGTTGCGAAAAATAATTATTGCGAACGCCTATTTTGTTTGGATTTGCAATTGCTAGCGATGGGCCATCAGATGGAAGTAGAGAGGAACCAAATGACGGAGCAGCAGAAGGCGACAGGCTCGGACCATCGGATGGCATAAGTGAAGGACCATCAGATGGAACGAGAGAAGGTCCATCGGATGGTACCAGAGAAGGTCCATCGGATGGCACAAGGGAAGGTCTATCAGATGGCATCAGTGAATTGCTAGTGGGAGATGGTATAGTCTTCCCAACTACCGACGTATAAATAGGCTGCGGCGATGGAGCTACAGATGGTGACAAGCTTGGACCATCAGATGGCACGAGTGAAGGAGCATCAGATGGTAGTAGAGATTGCGAAGCTGTTGGACTATCTATAGGATCTTCAGTAATCAATGATGGACCATCGGATGGCTGGAGTGAAGGACCATCAGATGGAGCTAGAGAAGGGACACCCGTTGGTGGAGGTGTCCTTCGTGTGAAGATACCAGGAGGTAGTCGTTGCGAGATGGAGGTGCTAGATGGTTTCATTTGGGCGTATGTTGGCTTCGACGATACATGATTAGGAGCAATTAGCGATGGACCATCGGATGGCAAGAGAGATGTGCCAGATGAGGGAGGAATAGTTGGTGACAAGCTTGGACCATCAGATGGTGTAAGTGATGGACCGTCAGATGGCGTAAGTGAAGGACCGTCAGATGGAACAAGTGAAGGACCGTCAGATGGAAAAAGTGAAATGTCATCAGATGATGGCAATGATTTGCCTGCTATTATGGCACTTGTAGGTTTAGACGATGACAATACGGAGGGTGACAAGCTAGGACCATCAGATGGCATGAGCGAGGGACCATCAGATGGCATGAGCGAGGGACCGTCAGATGGAACCAAGGAAGGCGTATCTGTCGGGAAAGGAGTTCTACGCGCAGCCTTTCCAGGACGCAATCTTGAACCACCAGCAATTAATGAAGGGCCATCAGATGGTACGGATGACGGAGCAATTGTTGGAACACCTGTAGGCTTAGTCGATGGAGCAACAGAAGGTGATAGGCTTGGACCATCGGAAGGCATAAGTGAAGGGCCATCAGACGGAAGCATTGACGGACTAGTCGTTGGTGCACTAGATGGTCTCAAAGATGGACCATCTGATGGAAAAAAAGAGGGAGCAATAGTCGGCGTGCGCGTTGGTTGAAGCGACGGATCATCCGAAGGCACAAATGAAGGGCCATCGGATGGAAGCACAGATGGACCAGCTGTTGGTCCAACTGAAGGTCTCAACGATGGACCATCTGATGGAGTAGCAGAGGGAGCAATAGTTGGCATGCGTGTTGGGTGTACTGATGGACCTTCAGAAGGCACAAGTGAAGGGGCATCGGACGGAAGCAGAGACGGACTAGCTGTTGGTGCAATAGATGGTCTTGAAGACGGACCGTCAGAAGGCTTCAATGAAGGACCATCTGATGGAATATTAGAGGGACCAATACTCGACGTGGATGTTGGCTGAAGAGATGGACTATCAGAAGAAAGCAGAGACGGACCAGCTGTCGGTGAACCTGTTGGCTCCGAGGAGTATGCCACAGAGGGAGAAATAGTTGGGATATCTGTTCGATCGACAGTTTGGATTGCTGAAGGACTTTCGCTTGAAATCTGTGTCGATGAAGTTATGGTAGGAATTACCACGTTGTCAAAAGACCTTGTCGTTGGAGTAGAGGATGGAAATGCAGTATTCAATGTAGAAGGAGCGCTACCAGATGGAGGGGTTAACGAAAAATTGTCAACTTGGCAACTCCAGAATGGATTGCTACGTGTACAAGTGCAAGTCTGAGACTCTGTCGATGTGCTTCCATTCATTTTAAGTACCACCAAATACGTACATTGACCCCAGGATGCACCGGATGGCAAAATAGAGGCACATGCGTATTCGTCCGCTACGACGGCTTGCGGGCACCAGTTTGTGTCACCAGGTGGGGCGTCGGTTGCCGACCTGATTACATTTGAGACCAATGTTGCCGACAAGGTTGGTCTGAATGAAGGGATGGAATGAGGACTTGATGCTGCTTCTTTCGGTTCCAAAACGGGTACTCTGCCTGCTATGGTGTTCTCTGGGGTTGGCGGAAAAGCAGAGCCGATTGGAATTTTGATGTCGACCGGAGGGGAAACAGGAGCTCGAGACGGCCCTTGGAAATGAATCCCAGATTCATTCCGTTGTTGAACTGGCTCGCATTCTGTGAATTGTACGTCGTCTTGTTTACCCGCACTTTTCGAATTGCTATAGCTGACTCCACAGTCGATCGCTACGCCCCCTTTTAGGCCGAAACAGATGAACAGAACAAAGTATCTCATCACAAGAGGCATTCTTTTACTGTGCGCAGCCATCGGATGATAACGCCTACTTTTTGGCTTTTGGAAGACTTCTGTCGCTTAGTAGTACTTTATAGTCTGATCGTATTGTTTATGAAGATAGAATGGAATGTTTCCACAACGCCTTTTCTTCGGATGTAAGTACTCGTATGTTAGTATTCCTCCTAACAGTATTTTTTGATGCTCAGATTTTAAAAAATATCTTTGATCGCCTTACTCGCATGGTCGAAGCAACGGTCGGACATCACCTAACGACTTTTCATGGTTTGCGTCTACTCTTGTAGGTATGATGAGTACTCTACTAATATCTTTACTTATGATACTATTTTCTAATATATTTTCTAATATACGTATTCCACGTGGAAGTAATTGAACCATACGAGGCAAACGATTTAAAGTTCACGTCGAAGACGCAACAACCGAGATAAACTACGAAGTAGATTACATGGTATACTATTCGACCATTGAATCCAACAGAACAACAGCTATCAAGAATCAGGCAAGAAACATGCCACCTAAAGCAAAGAAAAAGGAAGAAAATGAAGATTTGGGGTTGATGAAGGCCGCCAGATTCGGGCGAGTCAAGAATACCTTGTCGATGGGATTTGTCGGCCTCCCGAATGTGGGCAAGAGTACCCTCACTAACCTACTTGTCGGTGCCATGCACGCTGAAGCAGCCAATTACCCGTACGTTAATGTTAAATAACCATGAAAAGCAGTTAATGATGATACCGCGCTCCATCGCGAATTGAATCCCCCGAGTTGTCCCCTGCTCACCGCACGATTTATTTTCCTTTTTCAATCAATTACAGTTTCTGCACCATCGACCCAAATGTTGTTCAATGCGTTGTCCCCTCGAAAGACTTCAAATACCTTGCCGAGTGCTATAAGCCACCGAGTGTTGTACCGGCTGTGTTAAAAGTTACGGATATTGCTGGTTTGATCAAGGGTGCTAGTGAGGGAGCTGGCCTCGGAAATGCCTTTCTTAGCCACATCGCGGCTGTGGACGGTATTTTTCACTTGGTCCGGGCTTTTGATAGCGACGAAGTTATTCACGTTGATGACAGTGTAGATCCAATCAGAGATTTGGAGACCATTCAGGGTGAGCTTTGTGCTAAAGACAAAAGTACTTTGGTAGGTGTTCTTGAAAGGGAACAAGAGAAAGTTCGAAAGGAAAAAGGTTTGTCAAAACAAACCACAAATTTTAAGCTCTCGGAAACTTTTACTTCGGCGTACGAAAAGGTGAGCAAAATGGCGAGAAAGAGCCTAAATTAATATTAACTGGACACGAACGTCATCGTTGTTGAGATTCTCACCGAATCCTCATTTCTTAGGCGTTGGCATTGGTAGAAGCAAATACTCCCATCCAGACCGGAGAATTCAAAGATTCCGAAGTTGAGCACATTCGCGATTGGGGCTGCATCACGACGAAACCGCAGATCTATGTTGTCAATCTATCCCAAAAGAATTACATTCGAAAGGGAAATAAATGGCTACAAAAGATTGCTGATTGGGTAAAGGAACACGGTGGTGGCCAGATTCTCCCTGTTTCGTGTGAGTTTGAACAGAATCTTTTCGACTTGAAAGACTACCCCGATGAGCAGAAAGGTGAGTTTTCCGGTAACGAGTAGGATGTCTGATTTGCAACTATATTACCAACATATACTTCTCGATCCTGCCTCTAACTTGTTTCACTTCGCGTTGACATTTGTTTATGTACTGCTAACTAGCTTTCCTTGCTGAGTGTAAAGAAACAGCCCTCAAGGCTGGACTTAAAGGCAATCAGGCTGAGGTCAGAACAATGATTCCTCGATTGATTCGCGCCGGTCGTCAAGCTTTATGCTTGCAATCATTTTTTACTGCTGGTCCCAAAGAAGTGAGAGCATGGACCATCATGAAAGGAACAACTGCACCTCAAGCTGCCGGTGTGATCCACTCCGACTTCGAAAGAGGTTTCATCAAGGCCGAGGTGTGTGCATTTGCTGACTTCAAAACCTTCCACAAGGGTGAATCAAGTATGGCGAAGATAAAAGAGGCCGGAAAGTACCGACAGGAAGGAAAGAACTACGTCATGCAAGATGGTGACATCGTTGGTACGTATAACCTTCTCATTCGCTTCGTCCGAGACTCCTACTATTTGCGCTTTTACGTTGCTAAATATCATGCTTGCATTTTTTGTCTTCTGTCATTGACTGTCCCTAGTTTTCATGCACAACACAACAACTGGAAAGAAGAAGTAAACGAAAGATATCGATTTGCAACTAACGCCTAAACCAAAGTTATTATTGCTGTCCTGTTATATTCCTCCATATCCGTCGATACCAAACGTTTCGGGCTTCTCGCTCTTTACGTCTCCGAGCAAGGACTTCGTCTGGCCGCTCTATTCTCTTCGTATTATCAAAGTCTTCTTTAATTATGTGATTCAGTTTGTCCATCATTTCGTCATGCTCTTTATCCATAACTGCTTGTCGCTCTGATCTATGGAGTTATTTTGAAGGAAAGTTTCAAACGCCAAGCCAACAATTTTCGTGAGAGTTTTTTTCCAGAGTAGACCACCCAAGGAGATTTAATAATATGGAATCGGCGAATCCATCTCCGTAGTCCTACTTACTTGCTTATTCTTCCCTGAAACGCATCTCTTTCACGGTTTTTCCCTTCAATTCCATTAGAAACCACCCATACACCCAATCCGCAGAAAAGAAAGAGCGGCAAGCCTGCCTTGGCCACGTACATACTTCCTTCGTCGCTTCCTTTACCAGCATCGGAAAAGTCGCGGCGGACCTGTTCTCCTTTCCTACTCAAGAACGTACATCGTTGATGGCCAGAGACTATCACCCTCTTCGAAAACGCAACAAGACGCTGGCTTGTCGTCTGTACACGTATCATGATAAAGTTCTTGTTTCCATTCAATTCGAAGTAGGTCAACTAAATACTGAAATACTGTAATACTGAAATACTCGTACCGGTACCTTACTACAATCATGATGCGTCACAAGATTTAAATTTTTTTTTTCATGCTGTACGAGCAGCTGCGCTCGGAGCTCGGAGTTATCGGTACCGTACCAAGTAGTGGTACAATACAATTGAAGGGTATGGTACTTGGTACCCACGAGGACGATACCAGTACCGGTATGTAATATAACTGTGGCGTCGCACGGTCCGCGCGTGTACCATAAATGTAACCAGAAAATGTACTCTGTTGAGCTCCGTGTTATTATCACGTGAAGAGTTTTTGTACTGTGGGTTAGAGAGCTTGTTGAGCTCCGTGTTATTATCACGGGAAGAGTTTTTGTACTGTGGGTTAGAGAGCTTTAGCTCGAGAACCCACAGTACAAAAACTCTTCCCGTGATAATAACACGGAGCTCAACAGAGTACGTTTTCTGGTTACATTTATGGTACACCAGTAACATCACTGAGGCCGAGAGCTTTAGCTCGAGACCGAAGTGAGGTTACTGCAAGTATCTTCAACACCAAGCTTGAGAGCTTTAGCTCGAGAGCTTGGTGTTGAAGATACTTGTAGCGTGGGACCGATGCAATGCCACAGTTATTTACGTAACCGATTGAGTAGCATCGAAATTACATGTAACCATGCAGCGCGAGGTTACTAAACAGGAGCAAATGAACTACAAGCACTGCCTCCTCCGATAGGGGAATGGGCTCTTTTCCCTCCCCGATCCCTTGCTGATACGATACGGAGGAGCCGCTGATACGATATGGAGGAGGAGCAAGCCGCTGATACGGAGGACGCTGATACGATACGGAGGAGCCGCTGATACAATACGGCGGACACTGATACGAGTTGCTGATACAATACGGAGGACACTGATACGAGTTGCTGATACAATACGGAGGACACTGATACGAGTTGCTGATACAATACGGAGGACACTGATACGAGTTGCTGATACGATACGGCGTTCTGCTCTGCTGCTGGTGTTTTGCTTGATTTTTTGCTTGTTTCCCCCTGCAAATCAATATTTCTACGGTGTTTTCTACACGAGCTTGTACTGGAATAGCAATCAAGATCAGTTTTTTTTCACTGAAAACTGCTCGCATTTTTTTAGTACTCGTACTCCTCGTACAACATACTCTGTACAGTTACTGATACTACGTATTTACAGTAGTGAAGACAGTTTTTTAGTTTGTACCTGTTGAGGTGCGTGCGCCTGGTTACAAGCGCGCACAAAGCGCACTGTGCGCTTCTTGTAACCAGATTTGTAACCAGACTGAAAAAAAATGTAACCACACTACTAGTGTTATCGTGGTGAAAAGAAGGGCCTCCATAGGGAAGAGTCTGGTTACAATTCTGGTTACAAAATTCAGTCCGCGMGCTTTGTAACCAGTTGAGGTGCATGTACTWARGCAAAAAAATAACYAGTGTTTGTACGGCGCGAGCTGCTCAACAAATCGTGTACCAGTTTAGTAACCAAGCGCGCGTGGTTACATGTAATTTCGATGCTACTCAACGGTTACGGTAGAATACAACTTGTTGCTGTAGTAGAAGTAGTAATTTTTAAGCGGTGTGAAATTTAGGGGTGAATGTGATCTACGAATAGTTAAGTTTGACACGTAAGTTACTGTGAGATTACTGTGAGATTCATTCCCTTTAATTTCGGAATTCTCTACCCCCCGTTCTGCTTTTCCAAATCAAGCGACAAACCACAGCAAACTCGGCCGATAACAACAACAATAACCAAAAACAATCAACGACTTCGAGTACGACTTTGACCCCGTACTCGCATCAATAACAACCGAGCCGACCCTGTCGTCGGTACATCATTGCATGCATCAATTACGCAAGATATAGATTTCATTTTGTTCTTGTTAATTGACAGAAAGCAATGTTTGATATTCAAGAGTATGCAAACGCGAAGGGCATCCCTGTAGAATCAATCCCTGCGGATGTTTTCGACAAAGCCCAAGGAAAGTCCTACGCAATTCGCGAAGCTAAGGACCCCATGGCTGATACCTTCAAGGAAATTTGTACAAAATCACAGGAACTCCTAGCGGCATGCACTTCGGAATCTGGGGTAAGCATCGCTAAGTATGGCGTCTCGGCCCTTCTAATGATGATGCAATTCATGATTGTGATTGTTGTCTATGCGTCGGTTGAGCGCCATATACTGTTACTGACAAATTATCCATCTTCTATTCTTTGCCCTTTTATTGACAGAGCTCGGATGGATCTAGTTTCCCTGCCGCGTGTGCCAACGAAGCAGTAAAGCACATGGAGTGTTTGATCAACAAGAGAGATACTGCGTATCAGTTGGCGGTAAAACTTGCAGGGAAAGACGAATGTGAAAAGGTTTTTCCGTATTACGAAGATAACAAGAAGAAGGCACTCGATATGATTGGAATCTACAAGCATTCTGCGGAAGGTGAAAAAGCTAGCACTTTCTGGGGATGATTACTTACTCCTTCTAGAGTTAAATTTAAAAGTGACGATTCCAGTTCCGAGCCAAAGGTTTTAGTTGTTGTAGTGAATCAGATTCTTCCATCCAATTTAATAGGTTCTTTTTGGCAATAGCTTGTAGTAGAGATCAAAGCTAGATCTTCTGTTTGGTTCAAATGTTTTGGATTTTGATGCAAGAATTGTCAAAATCTCAGGATACAGTCCACAATCAATCTGAAGAAATTTGACACAACAAATTCAGGTACTACTAGGAGGAAGTGCCAGCAACAGGCAGGATGAACTGATCAGAATCATCCCAAACATGTTTCTCCTGTTCCTACTGCTGGCTGAATGCAATGTTTTGATTGCTGGTGGTGGTGCAACTCACTAGTATTATGGTGTACATGATACATAATTGTTCCCAGACTAGTGTTACATACTATTATTGACTGGTACTAGTACTAGTAGTACTAGTTGTTGTTGGTGTAGTAGTACTAGCCTACTGCTAGTATCACCAATGCACCATCAGCCCCAGCACATGCATCATACTAGTAGCAGTTCTAGTAGTACTAGTACTACTTGTAGTGGTAGTACAACTACCAATGCTAGTATTAGTACAACTACTAGTACTAGTACTAGTAGCACCAGTACTAGTAGTAACATCACCAGTGCACCATCAGCACCAGCACATGCATCATACTAGTAGCAGTTCTAGTAGTACTAGTACTACTTGTAGTGGTAGTACAACTACCAATGCTAGTATTAGTACAACTACTAGTACTAGTACTAGTAGCACCAGTACTAGTAGTAACATCACCAGTGCACCATCAGCACCAGCACATGCATCATACTAGTAGCAGTTCTACTAGAAACAGTTCTAGTAGTAGTACCACCTACTAGTTCTAGCAGGTACTAGCTACTGCTACTAGTAAGTTTGTTGCTGTTCCATGGTCAGAGATAGCACTGTCATGCCAAGCACTTGGATATATAAAGACTGAGATCTTGATCGCCCACCATTGATGAAGTTGCTTTCCTTCAATGCGTTGTAAATGGTTTTTGTTTCTATCAGTCTTCATGGCATTCTTGGGTCCATCAGCTGCAGCCCAAATGCATTGTTCTGCAAGTTGTGGATGCTTATTTCCAATGGCTTCAATATAATCATCTACTTATTTCTTCTTTGGAATACTGACTGTGACAAGTGGGTGTTTGTGAAGAACCAGGAGGAGCACCCTCCTGGAAAAGTTGAGTCACTTGTACATCACTGTGGAAGTCAAGCCAAATGCCATAGCAATTGATCTAGCAACAGATCCTCTTATCCTGAACCAGTAGAGCACCATTCCAATAGCACATATTGGATGAACCTCCCTCCTCTTTCCCTTCGGCTTTCCACTGGGATAACAAGTAACTTCTACAATCTTGTGTGTGTTGTTGATGGTATACTTGTCATAAACTGGTGGAGCAAAGACCTCAAGGAGTTTTCCAAAGAACTTATGGTCTACACCACAGCAGCAGTCAAGGAGTGCTTGGTCAAGCCCAACTAAGTAGCAGAGAGGGTGAAAGGTAGATTCAGCATATCTAGTATGGATTGCAAGTCATGGGGTTCTTCTCCTGTCTCTCCTATAGTGCTCTTCCAGTGATAGTTTTTTTCATAGATTTTGGCTTGTTCCTGGTGGTCATTCAACTGAATATGCCAGTATATCATAAAGGACTCCATGACTCCTATTGTGGCTTTCTTTTTAGCTAGGAGGAAACACTTGTCTAATTTTGCAAGGAAGATGCATGTTTCTGATACTACTATGAGTATCAGAAAATGCGTCTTATTTTTACTAATACTAGTAGTAGTAGCAGTATGAGAAAAAAATCATGTTTTGCTCAGTACGGAGTGACATATGCACCTCTGTTTAGTCTTAATAGTCTTTACATTGAAATCTTCTATAGCATTGGTGTTCAAAAAATGCACAATTGAATTATACATTTTTAATCCTATATTTGCACATGTATATCAATATATTCCACTACTAGGACCCCCTGACTCCCCCATACAACTAGAATCCTGTTTCAAAGTGTTTTTGATGTGCCTATCATACTTAAGAGTCTGTTGGGGACCAAGATACAGCTGAAACACTTAAATGGTTAAATAACACATTTGGTAGTAGATAATGGGCCATCTTTGTTTTACCATGTAATGACTAGTTTGACTCAAAGCATTCCAGCCCCACAAAGGACACTTTGCAGCTCAGCATGTACTAGCCGTACAGCAATAGCATGTGCGGGCAAAACTATTTTGGTTGCAAGACTGGTGGGAATAAAATTCAGCATGTGCCTGGCCATAAACTGCAGCACAAGCCAGTTTTTCTGTCAAAGTACTAGTACTAGTCATCACTTGTAAAATAAGGGCCCAAAATCTACAACTGAGTTGTAGATTTAAACAACAACTCTATGATAGTTAAGATTCCAGATTCCCAAAAACAAGGATATCAATACCGCCTTCCTCACTATCTGTGTGTTGAAAGTTTGATTCCCATTATTATAGGAATATTAAATGTGCTAAATTACTTGTCTGTTTAGCAATTACTAGTAGTATGAACCAGAACCAGTCATTAGCACAAAATGCCCTGTGAAATCCAATTGACTATGGTGCACTGGACTACCACTTTTCACTGGTGCATGGGAGTCAGTGACCTTGAAGAACTCTTACTGCTCTGGACTTCAGGAAGACACAGAAAGAAATTTGTATTTGCAGTTTTCTGTGTAGAATCCATGTAGACCTTTGCAGCCTTAATACCCCAAAATTGCAAATAAATTAGTACCTTGACAAAAACATTTTTTGAGTTCTTACTACTACTAATTAATATACTACTAGTGGTACTAGTACAATTATAGTAGTGCTAGTTCAGACAAAAACACTTAGAGCAGTAATTTTTGGTTGGGTCTAAACCCTATATACTATAGTACTACATATTACATATATCTTCGAGAATCCTATTCTCAATGACATCACCTTCTAACAGAATGGAACCAGAAGCAGAACAGAACTAAGGAGCTACCACGTCAATGATGAGTTGTTATGAGGCTTTACTTCTCTTTATATACTAAGATGGCTTTCTTCTATGATCATTCTTGTCCAAAAGAGTTGCACGACTGTACCCCCATTGTCAAGCAACATTTTGTTTTGCTTGTTGTTAAAACACTATCTTCATGTGCAAAACTTTTTTATCATCCATGCTCATTTTTATCTATTACTGATTCTACATGTTGTACACAGTCATATTTTATTGGGTGTTAAGAAATAAACTATTTGATGAGTGTTAACAACAAGTAAACAGGGTACAGTCTTTGGGGGGACAGCAAAAAAGGTCACAGGGCACAGTCTTTTGCTGGGGACTGAGCAAGTACCCAAGAGAACAATTCAGTGAATTCCATTCCTATTTCAGAAACAGCAAAGATCCAGAGTGCTGTCATTGATTCTTAGCTTCTAAATTCTTTTCAGACGTTCCACCTTGGCATTCAGTTGTTAGTTTTTTGTTTTTTGAACCGTAGAAACTGCTTGCGTTACCGAACCAATTTAAATTCACACGCAACGCCTAGTATGGTATAATGATACGTGTTGTATGTACGAGTGATATATAATGTACACAAGTACACTAAGCCCGCCAATAATATTCTTTCTTCATTACACGTGTGACGTCATGAAGCATCTCGACCAGACATCCCGTTCGGTAGGGGAATGCGTAAAATACTTCTTCCTAAAAAATAATAATCCACCGTATGCTGCAACCGCAGGATGTTTGATCATCTTCAAACAGCCGCTTCCACGCCTTACACCGATCCTTTTCAGAAGTGATGGGTTCCGTTTTTCTTTGTGTTTAAATCAAGTCTAGCAATCTACGGGGTAGATTCACAATTACTCCTTCTAGTACACTGGATATACGACCTAACTCACAGCCCTGCTAAGGAAGCGAAGAAAGCCATACTGGTCTTTGCCGCTTCGACTTATTTTCCCAATTCCATCGCAAATACACAAACACATCAAACACAATGAGATCGACTGTATCTGAAAATGTTCTTCGCCTCCTGTGTTTGACGGCATCTTTGGGTCACACATTTGCGTTCAGCGCAACGCCGTCTGCTTCCACCAACAGAGCTTCATCGATTACATCATCATCATCACTCGGCGTCAGTATCGGTATGGGACCAGAACAGTCTGTTGAGGAAGAAGAAGGAGAAGGCAAGAAAAAAGAACTAGTCGCCGGTGTTGACTATGAAGTTCCGGATCACGAGGCCTTCCGCACCTCGCGTCGTTCGAAACTTGACGAGCAATGCGATCAGTGGTTCGGTGCTCTCTTGGGAGATGAAACAAAAAGCGGAGTTTTGGGCCCGCTTGCAGATGACGCGAGAGAAACTTTGTTGAAGCCTGTACCTCTGATCAACGAGGTGTGTTATTGTTACATTAAACTATTAATGTTTTGCCTTCTTCACAATTTATCATGTCCAACCAATTGATCCTGCATTCTCACTCAATTGACTTTCTTGCTTTATCGTGCATCGTGTTTTATTTTTAACCACGCTTGATTTTTCGCTCACAGGAAGAACTCCCTACCGATCACGAGGAATGGACACCGTACGTGGCGACGAAACTTCCATGGACTCCGCTCACACCCGCATTTGGCCTGGAGCAATACGGTCTCCCAATACCGAGGAGAAACGCAGAGACATGGCGACACTTTGATGTATCTGGTATGATCAACCAAGATTATTCTGGAAGTTGTGAAGACGACGGCGAACCTTTGAAGCTCTCTGAGGAGGAGGTCGCAACGTACAGAGAAAAATTGGAAAAAGGCGGTAGTTGGATCGCAGATGATGCTTGTCAGGCTAGATTGGTATACATCAATGGACGTTTTGCTCCTCAACTATCAATGGAGAACGATTTAGCCGGAAATCTCGGGAAAATTGATGATTCCGTATCCGACGAAGTGAAATCCTATTTGTCACGATTGACGGATGGTTTTACGGATGAACTCGCAACACCCGTACCAATCGGAGAGGATATGTATTGTTCATCTTACAAAAAACTTGGGGGAGCTGATCATTGTCTTGGCGAACCTTTCTCCCAATTTGCCATTAATACACAACAAGGAACGGCGTGTTTTGCAGCACTAAACACCAGACTGACGTGTGGCGTGGCGTATGTCCGAGTCCCAGACGGTCACGATGCAGAGAATGAAGAACGTAAACCAGTAATGATCCTCAACGCTGTGACAAATAACGGAGGATCAGCTTCAGGGTGTGAAGGCATGTCATTTCATCCAAGATCTCTCGTTGTCGCAGGTGAAAACAGCCGACTGTCTGTTGTGCAGGCGTGTGTTGACTTGGATGACGGTAGTGATCATATTCCGAAACTCTACAATGGCTTCACTCAAATGTTTGTCAAGGAAGGCGCAAATGTCACCCATTCTTTCCTGGAGGAATCTGGTGGTATGGTGACTCCAGGCGTCGAGAAGAATGACGATTCTTTCGAGGATGACGAACCAACCGCGCGATCTGTAGAAGCCGAACGACCCGCAATGAAAGACACCCATATGGAATGTGTCGATGTGCAATGTATAGGTGATGACTCCAGTTATGAGGGAACTGTTATGAGTGTCGGTGGAAGTGGTAGAATTAGAATATCTCATTCCGTCTCTTTGCTGAAGCCACGCGCGCATGCCAAAGTCTACGGCTTCTTCTTATCTGGAGGAGCTCAAAGAACAGACTGCAAGACCAACATCCACCATGCTGGGCAAGGAACTACTAGTGAGCAGATCCAAAAGAACATGATTGGAGGAAGGGCAACAGGGGCTTTCCGCGGCCGCATTCGAGTTGAACAGAGTGCACAGCAGACAGACAGTCAACAACTCACCAGAAGCATCCTTCTGAGTGATAAATCACGCGCTTGGTCAGTGCCTTCTCTGGAAATTATCGCGGATGATGTGCAATGTACTCACGGAGCCACGGTTTCAGATTTGTCCGAAGAGGAACTGTTCTATCTTCGATCTAGAGGGCTTGACACGAGCTTGGCACGGAATCTCCTCATGTATGCATTCGCAGCTGATGTATGCAATTGCGTTGACAACGCGATGCTTACTTCTGTAGACAGTGACAAAGGACTTCAAAAACGCTTGATTGAACGTTTGAACAATGTTGTGCCTCAGGGAGATAGAGCTATTCAGGGTGAATTTCAGAGCGTCTAAGGTCATAAATGATAGCATTGACAGCTTGTGACAACACTAAGTGTACTAAAGTCACCCCCGTTTTCAATCATTCGTTCACATTTTGAGCATTTCTTGATGATGGTACACATACTGTTTCCATATACGTGTATGTGCACCTTACAAACAGTGTAATAGAACACACATATACGGCTAGCAGAGAGAGTAGAAAAAATGATTCCTATTTTCGATTATTCGCCACTTTCCTCTAAATTCGTTACTATTCGTTAGACAGTTTCCGAATGTTCTTGAAGGTATATTCCATCGCTCCTATACTTGCGCAACCTCGCAACTAGTGTCAGAGACGCTTACAATAGAGTCTCCCTCAGAGACAAAGCCCATGCGTTTGATCTCATTCAATGCAACTTCAATTTTTTCCGCATCACTCTCAACATTTTGCAAGCCTACTACTGGATAAATACCTCTGGTCAAAATCATCTGCCGTGCAACTTTGCTCGTCGAACAGAAACTGATGATCGGACAGTTTGGCCTATATGCTGCTACCAATGAAGGCAACCTGCCATCCTCCGTAAACACCAAAATCGCCCTGCAGTCATTGGCAGAACTAGCAACAACTGCTTCTTCAGCAACTGCCGTCACGGGATCACTTTTGTCTCCCATGTAAGGCAGTGCATTTGGGGAATTATTCAAACCGGATAACGAACCAGATGCGGAATAGTGCTCAGCCGACAAGATGATATTATTCATCGTCTCAATAGTTAGGTCGGGATATTTTCCCTTCGCGGTTTCTCCACTTGTCATCACAGCATCAGCCCCATCGTATACGGCATTGGTCACATCAGATACTTCAGCACGTGTTGGGCGTGGATTCTTAGCCATTGATTCGAGCATTTGTGTTGCTACGATGACAGGTTTTCCAACAACGTTGCATGCAGCAACCATCTCCTTTTGAGCATTGGTAACCTGCTGAATAGGAATTTCAACTCCCAAGTCTTTCAAGCGGTACGAATAAAACAATCAGATTAGTCAAAGGGGAGCACATGAATATGAAGTAACGGACAAGTGCTGATGCATTCTAGAGTCGCTACCAAAAGCAGTTACTTACCGCCTCTTGCCACCATGATGCCGTCTGATTCTTTCAAAATGTCATCGAAATGGTTGAGTGCAGATTGACTTTCGATCTTGGAAATAATAAGGGGCAATGGACGGTCTGCTATACCCATTTCCTCTGAACACTGCTTCATGTAATTTCGAATTTCTCGAACAGCTTCTGCAGTTTGGATGAAGGATGCCGCAACGTAGTCGACATCGATTTCTAGCCCATACTTGATATCTTTCTTGTCCTTGTCRGACATGGCTGGTAGGTCTGTTTCGGCGCCTGGTAAGTTGACTCCAGCACGCGAACGAAGCTCGCCAGAGTTGTCGATGCTGCACACTACGCTTCCATCGCTGTCGTTGAGTTCTGTGACAGTAAGAATTACTGCCCCGTCATCCAGCAAGACTTTCATGCCTGGAGTCATGCACAAGTGAAGCTTTTCGTAATTGATAAACAAATCTTTATCCGTCGAAGCTTCTGCGTAGTCCTTCGAAGTTTGGAGTGTAATTGTGTCGCCCTTTTCAAGTTGAATGGTCTCGTGACCCGAATCATCGTGAGCTAGTTTCCCAGATCGAATTTCTGGTCCCCTAGTATCAAGAAGAGTTGCCCGAACATCTTGAACAGCGTTGATTGGCCCGTCGAAACTATACGAATCCTGATTTTATCAGAAGTATCCAATTCATCGTAAAGGCATCACCACATGTATTTAGTCATCACAAACAATTAACAAAATTGTGTTAGTCGAAACGCGTTTTGACGACAAAAAAGGTCCATCGTCTTCCAGAAATAGTTCCTACATCGAGGGACTATATCCACCAAAAGTAACGATATTCATCACAAATATTACCTGACTGGCCGCAAGATTCTTCAATCTCAACTCGACTTCTTCGGTTGTTGCATGAGAAAAGTTCAACCTCATAATTTTCATTCCAGCTTCGACAACCTTTTTCAAAGGTTCTGCCTGTTCCGATGTCGGGCCGATCGTAGCGACAATTTTGGTCAATGGATGACGGGGATCAATCGTTTCCGGATCGATTAAGTTGAACGTCGTTTTAAGCGTACGGGTTTGGTTGTCAATCTCGGGAACAGAAGCGAAACTGCGTGAACCATTTTTCAACAACTTTGATGTTCGTAGACGGATGTGACGGGAACATTGCGTTCGAAGCGCGCTGGAAAACATGCTAAGTAGGATATTGTGAAAATACGAAAACCGATGATTACAAAAGGAAATAATCCTTTTTAGTAGAGTACAAAGTTTTTTACTTTGTCGKTATGCAAGAAGGATAGTTCTCTCTCAAACAAATTGTTTGCCGAAAGATATTGAATACTGTAAGAACAGCTGTGAATTACTATTCGAAGTTTCCGCTTTTTCCGCTTCTCACCGCACCGCTAGGAGACTGGTCATGAAGTGGTTCCTACAGTACGTACTAGAGCTACTAAGTACGGGCCCCATAATGGCAAGTTATTGGCAATCCCCGTACAAATACTAATAGAAATTTTTAGCTCATTTTTACAGTTAAAACCAGTTAAAAAAGGCATCCAATGGACGAAAATAAAAATATTTCCATTGTTTAATTTCTCGCTAGTCCCAAAATATTTCTATTGGTGGTCMTTRATATTCGAGATAAGCACTGATTTGATATTCCCACTAGTAAGGACCAGGAATAAAAATATTTGCGGACTTAATAGTTTTTTGTGTGGATGGGGGGAGAGGGGAAATAGAGACGGGAAAATGAGAAAAAATTGACGTACGGAAATTGCCAATAACTTGCCGTTATGGGGCCCGTACTTAGTAGCTCTAGTACGTACGTACTCGTAGTCCAGTACACGGTTCTGAATGCATAATTTTTTTGGTTGGTTTTCGTGAATTCTACTAGTATTTCACAACCAAAATCTTCACAAAATTTCAATACCGGGTACAGTTGTAGTAGGTAGGTACGTAGTACTGTAATCGGGGAAGCTAATACTGTATCACGAATTTATGACAAAACTTGCGCAAAAATAAGGAACGTCTAGTACGTACGGTACGGTACGAACTCGATAAATGATTTATTATTATTTCATAGTCAAATGAGTCGTCGATTAAAATGAAATAAGACCGCGCCTAGGTCAAAACTGAAACTGCAACGCTCCAAAATCTTTCTCACATGGTTTTGGAAGAGTAATCATGGGAAGGGCGATCCTTATTGTCATCGGAAGCCAAACCGTTTCAGTAACGGGTGGAGGTACGAAAATTATCCAAGAACTGTGATGCGTTACTATTGATTTATATCATTTCACTTTCGCCGCTCACCCCAGACCGATGATCCTCATCTAAACCGCCTCCACTATCTTACACGGTTGTTTGCCATAGATTTCAACAAGAAAGAAATACGAACGAGATAACCGTCCATGGCAATGAAGTCGTCTTCAGAGACATCTTCGTCGTCTTTCAGCTGGATTCGAGGTGTCAATATAGCGGGATGGCTTGTGGCGGAACTTTTCGTGACACCCTACCTATTCGCTCTAAATTCGTGTCAGCTCCAAGGCGATTGGTGCTTTTATCCGAATCAACTTGGTGCCCTACCGACCACCAGTAGGCAGCATAAATATTGTGACATGTACTTTTGCAAACCCCATTTGGTCGATATGGAGATGGGCGATGATACCATGAAAGAGTATCCCGTGGACGAAAAATCATTGCTCGCTTCATTCTCCAATAAGGCACTCGCCAAGCAGTACATGACCTTCCATTGGGAAAATTTCATCACTAGGGAAGATATTCGCTTTATGGCAGAAGAAGGTGGTGTCGAGTATGTAAAAGTACCTATTCCCCATTATGCAATGAACGATATTCTTGACGACGAGCCTTGGGTAGATGGGCAGTGGATGTACTTCGTGCGATTTGTCGGTTGGGCGAGAGAGTACAACATTCAGGTCTGGATAGATTTTCACACAAMATTTGGAACGCAAATAGGATTTGATGAAACCGGTTTCGAAACATCGCCAGAAGACTCCGGTTGCGATCATTGGCTTGGCTCTTCGGTGAACGTTGAACGAAGTTTAAATGCAGTCAAGAACATGGCCCAAGCTGTAATGGACGACAACTTGAGAGATGTAGTGACTGGTTTTGGAATAATGAACGAACCGTCTTCAGAAAATTGCCCAGTAGAACTCACTAAAAGATATAGCGATAAAGCTTTGCGAGCTGTTCGTGAGATCATGKGAGATGATACAGCTGTCTACATCGCAGATTCTTTGAACGCAGCAACTTGGAATGATGGGTGGTGGACTGATGCTACTGGGCACAAAAATACGTACATCGACAGCCATTACTTCCATACCTTCTCTGATAGTGAACGTGCGCTCTCCCCAAAGCAACATATTGCGCACACCTGTAAAAAGTTCGCAAGAGAAACAGCTAGCTGTTGTTACAAGGACCATCCAAAAAATAAGAAGGTCTCCGATGGTGTCTCTAGAATTGTCGGTGAGTGGAGTGCAGGCTTCGATATTTGTCCGAGCGATATGGTTCACAAAAGTATGGACGCAATTCGCGATCCGAAAATTGCGAAGCCTCTGCTCATGGACCGAACCTTGAGCGAAGAAAGGATGTCATTCTTGAAAAACCACGTCGAATCTCAGATGGTAACATATGAAAGCAGTACTACAGGTGTTTCGAGTGGCTGGTTCTTTTGGACGCTGAAGATGGAAGGTGGCGCCTTTGCCGAATGGGATTTCACAAGAGGAATAAAAGAAGGATGGATTCCGAAAATTCCGGACAAAAAAACTAGTTCTTTGTCTATCTTTGGATCGTGCGAATCAATTATGAAGAAAACCATTGATGACATGAGTATCCTTCAGCAATTCCCGAATTCAGACGATAGAAAAAGGGGATCAGACCTTTCGGTAGATGATGATTTCGTTCTATCTTTTGGGAAAGGGAAAACGAAGACCTCTAGTATAAGTTCTCTAGCAAGTGAGACGGAGAACCCTTACACCCGCGAGAAGCTCACTTCTCCCAGTAGTATCCAAGCAGACGAGGAATCAGAATTTTTTAAGAATTTTCATGAGCAAGACTCGACGACTGAAAAATCTAGGAAACACCACTGGTTCCGTTTCTTTGCACTCTGTTTCTTGTGTTACGGTGTGTGGACTGTCTTCTTGAAAAATGAATATGGGTTTGGACGTCGGCGTGGAGACTATGACGCTTTGCACCGAACCGAGCTATATCTTTAAATAATGATAATAACAGAAGTCTAGGAAAGAAACTGCTTTTGGTGGCCTGACAATAGAAGAAATAGAGGGGAGCTCAAAATTTTTCGTACTATGTATCTGTAACATACTTGATTACCCCGCATAACCGCCAATCTAAATTTCTCCACTACATTTTTTGAATTACTCGAACAAGTGGCATCTATTTTTGTTTCCACTTTTAAATGACTCAGTGAGTTGTCGCGAAGAGAGAAATGAAAGCCCGTCGTTTACTTTCCTGCTAACCTCGGGTCGCGTTCGTTCACCCCTTCGAAAGCTGCTTTCCGAGCAGCGTTGACTGCGGATTCGGTCTTTTTCGGACTCAAAACACCCCCTTCAGCGGATGATTTGACAGACTTGAGTTTCTCCCGAGCAATTTCGTATGCAAGTGCGGCTTTTTCCCGTGTGTCAAAAACGCCAATATACCTCGACTTGCCCGCAAAGTAAAGTTGAGCTTGCCATTTTCCCGATGGCCGCATCGTTACACCCCTAAGAATCGCAGCTGCGAGAGCTGCAGCTTTGTCGTTCTTCCCACCACTAGCTTGATTTACAGCCTGAATGGTAGCTGCTGCCTTCTGGCGTTCTGCTTTATCAACAAGTTGTGGTGATCTGTTTTTCTTCTTTGAGGGATTCTGAGATTTCTTTGACTTTTTCGTAGATGCTGATTTCGGTGCTGCTGATGTAGCTTGTCGCTTCAAATTCTGCTTGCTCGGAACAACTTTGATTGGTTGTTTCTTTGTCGAAGTAGGTGTAGCTTTCGTTTTTGGATGAGCTGCGTATAGAGGCATGTGTCTATGTGCTCCATGACCATGTGGTGGATGAGGAGGATAGCGACCATAATGAGGATGTATGTGCGGAGGGGGAACCCCACGGTGATGCGAATAGTGGGGGGGCGGCGGTGGATAAGGAGGTGGATATTCACCACGAGGTCCGATCGGGTATGATCGAACACGCTGTGAATCACCACTAGATTTCCCTCGATTTGGAGGCGGGCCTCCTACAACCACCCTCATACTCCCTCCGTGAGTCATCCCTGGGTGTAGAGCAGGATAATATGATGATTCGTGATGAGGGAAATGCGACGACATTGGGGGGTATCGATTCGAAGGATGCAGACTGCCCGTTGCAGGCAGTTTTTTTAAAGGGTCGTGTGCATTTTTCTGTTTCATATCCATTGCTGGTCCGCCGCTTGCTTGACTCATGGGTCTAACTCCGTGGTCATCAGAAATATCATTGTGGTCTCGTGAATGAGTTTTCCTTGCCAGTCTGGCGCCTTTTCCGTCTCCGACGCTTCCCCCGATCATGGGGAGCTGAAGCGATGGGAGATTGTCGCTTTCTCCATTTTTCCGAAAGACTTTCGATCCTTCCGTTTTCGTAGGCACCCCGGATTGAACACTATCAGCGACAGCTGGTCGAGGGGTGCTTGATGCCAGCTGCAATAAAACGCTGAGATCTTCGTCTTCCATCAAGTCACGTTCAGCGAGATGAACAGCGTCTAGATTTCCACCCTTTTGGACACCACTTCGTGCTCTTTGAGACGCCCCTAGCATCGCCATTCCGGATCTTTCAGCGGGTGAAGCAAACATTTCTTTGTAATTGATCTTTGGAGAGTTAGGTCCTATCTGGTTGCCTTTGACTTTGTATGAAGATAAAGGAGAAATGCAGATAATGTTATTATTCCCACGGCCATTCCCGCCTCGTTTCTCGTTATCCGAAGCACCGTTGGCTGCTCCTGATTTGGGGGAAGCACACTCCCCTCCACGTGGTAAACCAGCGACATCCGAGAAAAAGAATGATGTGCTAAATAATGGTGTAGGAGGTGCTTTAGGGACTGCGCCCCTGGGTGTATTCAGCATTGATCCCAGACCTCCAGGAGAAAAAATACCGTTCACCGTTGGGGAGTGGAGCCACGACAAGACATTAGAGCTCTCCAGGAGAGAACCATTGGTCGGAGTTTTGCCATAATCAAATGCGAAATCTGTGGGGGTGGCCAAGAGTCGATCGCGGTCTAAATCTCGTTTTGGAGTTCTCGGCGTGAGCGGTGCTCTACCAGAGCTTGCTGTTACAGAAATACCAGATACTGATTCAAGATCGCTTTTTTCTTTCGTAGAAGTGGCACTTGTCTTCTTATCAAAGTAAATTGGAGTGCGCGTAGGTGAAAGAAATATCGCACCTGGAGATCCCAAGGTATCGTCATCTAATGTCGGCAGGCTCGTGAATCGCCCTCCTGTCGGTGACTTGATGGGTGTTTTCATATACTGATTCCCGTATGCAATCAACAAGAAAATGATGGTGAGAATCATCGAGCTGCAAACTGAAGAAGGCAAAGAAAAAAATCGTATGTCACCAAAACGAACGCCAATCATTGACTCACCCTATCTCCGTTCGTCTTTGAGGGTGGCACAGGCGAAAAGCTAACACTGGTATTTTTCTTGCGAGATGCCGCAGCTTTACTAAACGACGCCGTTGTATTCTTTTGAGGCAGTGACACAGAAGTCGACTTTGGTTTGGGTTGTTGACGTTGCTGATGCCGCGCATGTTGTTGCTGTATTGAACCTTTTGCTGTTGAGGTAACAGCAGGATAATTCTTGTTCTCGCGATCTGATTCCTTTCGATCGGTACTATTCGCAGAAAAATGCGATGGGATCGTCTCACCGCTGCTACTTTCTTCCTCACTCTTCTTCTCCTTATTTCTATTGCTGCTACTCGTTCGTGCAGGAGTGAGAAACGTCTGGAACTCCAGAGCCGGTGACTCTTTCACGCCGTTGGAAGACGATGGCAGCAAGCTTCTGCGGCCTGGAGATGCGCATCGGCCACCCCGGCGAGATACAAGGCCGCGTTTTCCGCTCGACGGGGAGGAAGTGGACGAGGACGACGAATCCCCTTCGTCCGATCCAGCAGTAGAATGTGTTGTTGCTTCTATCGCCTTTGCTTTTGCGCTGCTGTTGTTCTTGCTACCATTCGTGCTGTCAAATCTGACCTGTTTGTTGTCTAAATGTGCAGCTGCAGCGGCCGATGCTTCTTTTCTAGCTGCTGCTGTTGAAAACGCATCTAGCGGTGTTACCATAGTAGCGGAAGATTGGACATTCCTCGTATTGATATTTCCGTCGGAGATCGTATCATCTTTCTTTTCTTCGGGATGCCCTGTTACCGGAACCGAAGATAACGCCTTTGTTGTGCTTCGATCAGGTGTTTGGAAATCTTGTTCTGACATAGTACCGCTCATAGCATCCGGTCTTGCTCTAGTAGAAACAGTCGCCGTACTGTTCATCTTTGCTGCGTGTTATTCCCTTATCGTTCTGTGCTGCAATGAATCATTCGTATATTAAGTCGATTGACATAAAGAATTAGGGGGAAATAGAAAGTCAGAATACAAACGATTAGTGTCTCAAATTGGTAGATTGGATCGGATGGGATCGAACTTGAGAATGAAGTCGATCCATGGCGTAGATAGCTATTATCTCATTCGTTCCATCCCGTCTACTTCGACCTCGTTTCGGAATCAATTCTGATGCTTCGGAGAATCAACACTGTACTACAGACCAATGCCACCACAAATGGAACTTCATGTTTCTAGGCATTGAACCGAAAAACAATCGCCTGCACTTCCAGGGACCTCGGATGGCAGCGAATAGTTTTCCACCGAGTAGACCACCCAAACATTGTGGGCCCGCAGCATTGACTAGGTAAGTTCAATCCATCTTCATCTCCGTCTCAAATTCACCATCGGAAACCTGACCAAGAGGAATTGAAGCGAACTCATCCAATTTGGGGTTTCCAATAGGACGATAAGGCGTCTACTTACTGCTTTCTTGTTTGTTTCTGAATGTGGTTGTAGATTGCAAGATTTGCGAGTGGTGTAACTTTCGTGGTTAATCAGAAGTCTACCAATGATGTAAGAAGTAAGGCGGATGGTTGGGGATGAAAGAGTTCTTTGGTGATTTTAGCTCTTTCAGTCAATCAAGAGCAATCGATGTCGTCTTCGGAGGGAAGTTGGACATAGACTCTCTACTCGCTACTACCGTATTTTACGGTATGGTACGAACACCAGTTTTTCTACTTACAGAAAGGGGGAGGAAGCGCAAACAAAACGACAAAGTGAACCAGTAAGCGCGGAAGTGGAAGAAGCGAAGGGAAATGCATTGTGCTAAACAGCACCCAAAGAAGAAAAAGCGCAGGGGTCGTGACGCGCAGCTGCAACAGTTCGAGAAGACAGAGCACCTTCCTTTCTTTTTTCGGTTCGGTACGCGCCCCGCCGTCAGCTTGGCATGATGTAGGTTGTTCTTCCTATGAAAACGAACCCGGCGTCAAGATTGTGCGATGCCGCAGGTGACACTCGCCAAAGATAAAATGAAAAATAAGTAATTCTTTGTCGTAGCAGGTGTCGTATATCTAAATATTAAATTAAGCCACTTCACAACGGAAACCAATGCATTGTGAAGAACGACTGTGTGTTCTGCGTTCGACGTGCGTTGGATCATCGCAAACGATAAACTAACGTTTCTGTGCAAGACGTAATTTCTTGCGTGGCCATACTCTTGCCTAGATATGTTCATAGTCATCATTGCATATTGTTTGTACGTATGATAGAACTGCTGTCATATTTGATATTGAATTTTTGCTTTCCTTTCATGTTTTCCGTTGTTCATTCTTATTTTTCCATTGCAAACGATTCTACAACAACATAACCTGCAACCCACAAGATTCGCTTTCAAGGCGCACAGTGAACCTATTCTTCACAACCTCACAGCAAGAGGTCGTTCCTAGCAATGATGATGTATTCGACGAAAAGAACCCTTATAGCAGTGATAAAGATTGTGATCGGATTTCGCCTGTCAACTAATGCTCTCCCAGTCTACGAAAGGTTCGTGGCTCACGGAAGGTGCCCACCTTGTGATCCTTCCATTCGCGATTTAGGATTTCTGTCAAACCGGATACAGGAAGCCACGATCCGCTCGTTTGATTTTCGCATAAGAAGCAAGTCTCATTCTATGGGCGGTAGAAAACGATTCTCTACTCTGTCTTTTCTTTTTTCCTCTGGAAACAACAACAATGTCAGCAGCAACGATGTCTTTGCTTCAGTACCTGGATGGTTCACAAGGAAGAATTTCTTAATCGCTGGAATTTTTCTACTGATTCCTCCAATTCTTCTCGAAGCTTATTCTAGAATCGGTATATTATCAATTCCAAGTGGACAAAGAAATGGAAATGACAGGGCTCCCCGCAGAATATTTTCATACGTCCCACCTCCAAAAAACACGGATTGGAGCCATGTTGAGCATGCAACAATCGTTTTCCATGGTGCTGGAGGAGAAGATTCCTACACCAATGAATTGATGAAACGATTAGATGCTGCCGCTGAGTCAAGCTCGTCAGGACTGCAAAACCACTATAACCATATCGTGGACTGGAGCCAAAACAGCGCAAACATACTTCAAGCGAGTTACAACGGACAACAAATAGGAAGGATAGCAGCGAGAGAGTTGCTAGAGCAAGCTACAGCTCCTAATAATAGCCTCAAGACGATTCACTTCATTGGGATATCAGTGGGCGCCTTTTCTGCGGATGCGGCTGTCAATGAAGTAAAGAAGAACTTTCAGAACAGCAATTCCATCGAAGCCCCGTTTGTACAGCTCACTCTCCTCGATCCCTTTCAACAACTCGGTATCTTCGGTGTTAGTTACGGTAACAAAACGTTTGGAAAGTCAGCAGATTATGCCCAGCAATATCTCAATACAGATGACTCCGTTCCCTCTACCAACAAACCACTTCAAAATACTGTCTGCTACGACGTGACAAACCTGCGCCCAGAAAGCGTCTTCGGTCATGACTGGCCTCTGGTATACTACGCTCGATCTGACCATTGTGGCAAGATAATGATAAATGACCAGGGAAAGAGCATTACATCGGTGGAAACTGGGACTGTGGTGGTGCTGTAATTTTGTGGAAATTTATTCTTGGAACTGGAATACGTTATTCAGCCTGTAAAATTTTCAGCTGCTTCCTTATTGGTGTCCGGTGTAAAATCTATATTACTTACGTAGATGAGAGTAGATACGTAGTGAATACAGTAGCACTGGATAATAGGGACGATTGATCACGCCGAAAATTGCATTATCCAAGGGACTACAACTACAAATGCGTACCAGGTAAACCAATTCGTAACTAATTATCGAGGATTCCAGTCGAGGATGCCACTGTCGAATAATTCGTTTTCAGACAGATTTGTCCCTCGCCGGCATTCTCTGCGATTGGTAATTGTGATGTAATCTTCGACGTCTAAATCACGACCATTGTGGGTAGAAAATCCACGAAGGTAGAATTGACCAATCATTCGTCGATAGGATAGACCAAGGAATGTCTCAGGTTTGAGCACTGGGGGGGAAACCGCCTTCAAGTTTTGATAACAACTTTCGGGAATCAAACAACGCGGGAACAATAGTAGCTGCAGCTTGATGTTTCCGCCTCCCAAATTCTATTATTTTTATATCATGGAGACACGAAAATTTGAATTGATGAAGATGCTAATCGAGTTTGATATTTGGGTGAGCCCATGTTGCATCGGTGAACTTTCAGTGTTGAACATGATTGAATTAAGTCTCGGAGTCTTTGTCGTAGTAGATCGGTCGTCTCAAGTACTAAGCAGAGTCTTTGACCAAGTATAGATCATCTACATATGAAACCCAATCAAATCGATCACTGGTTGAGTTCATTCCGTACTCCACTCTATCATATTCTTCATCATCTAACCAGTTTTCTGCGTTAATATCAAACATTCCCAGTGTGGACATCGTCTTGGAGGTTGACATATTAATACGATTCCTATCGACACCTAATCTTCGACCGAATGAATCAGTGTCACCTTCCTTTCTTTCGTGTCGTTGGTGTGACTTGCTCTGAGCGTGTTTCTCGTTGTTCCTTTTCCTTCGAGAAGCAAAAACAACAGATCCACTGCGTAAACTTTCTGCGGCAACCATTATTTTGAATGCTGCATCCATTGGACGTCTTGATGGTATTTTGCCACTTATCATACCCGTGAATGCTTCTTCCACTATATCAAAACAGTGGGTATCTGTTCTTGGTAAATCGTTCTCTACCAAGACGGAATGCCTAAAACCAATGGATGATCTTATCGATGCAAAATCATTCATACCCTTTATATGATCGAACCTCTTATTCGGAAGATAATCCGTAACCTGCTTCGCAAGAGCGTGGATGGATTGGCAGTTGCACTCTTGAAACATTAGTCTCGTCGTCCTTGTGGTATAAAGGGGTCTTAGTCGACCACCATTTTCCTGGTCGATAGTAGTAACTACCGATTTTGCAGTGTAGTAGCAGTCAATAATTCGTTGGCGTTTGTCAACTGTAGCCTCAAATCTAAGCACACAGCCACAAGTCGGAGAGCATTGTTGACCCCATGACTTGGTCACATGAGACTTGTTTGCATCGGTCCCAACAAACGAATCGATCACTTTTTTGTTCGCCTTCACGGCTGGCGTGCTCTTTGCGGAGCGTCGAGCAGTATTCAGGAGGAATCTCATGGCCGGTGTTTTCAAGAAATAGGAACACTAAAATGGTAGAAGAGAATTTCTATCGTGTTCCATGATGAAGTTTTCCTGTACAATCCAATGGAGAACGGCATGTTTCCGAACCGTTTTGTCCCGAATTCTTGAATTAGTTCTCACGGAATCTGTTTGATTTGAGAAATCGTGGGATCGGCACTTCATTTTTGCTTAGCTGATACGACAGAGTAGTACGAACGAGTCTCCCTACCGTACCGTACGAACCTCTCGTTGTCAAAGAGCAGAGGTTCCGTATCGGTATGACTAATACAAGTACGAGTATGAGTATTCTACAACCGATTAAAATAATTTCCTAACTTGCTCATTTACAGAACTCCTACTTCGTACTTTTTGATTCACAAAGTACGGTAGTAAAATATTGCCTCGTCAGACGTGTACAAAATAGTGTCAAGACGTCGAAACTCCCTGATGACATCATGGTTCTGAGAGCTGACATCATCGACTTAGTTGACACAGCAAAGACACTTCACTTAACAGAAAAACAAAAAACCGTATCCACACGGTACGTACGTACCGGTACCTATTGTAGTACTAATAGTACGCATTGCGTATCAATTGAAATTACCGTACGGTACGGTACGTACGTTTCAAAGGGCATTCCGAATGTTAGAATTAAGGTTCAAAAATCCAGGTAGTGCCAGCAAGGTGGAAAGTAAGAATGCTCTGAAAAGAATTTAGAAGCTAATCAACAATGAAAGCACTGTGAGTGTTTGTTGTTTCTGATATTCATTGATTTGTTGTGTATGTTTGCAATGTTGAGTACTATTGTTGTTGGTGGCATTGTATATGGTGGAGAAGAAGAGGTGGTCTTACAATGAGAAACACACCATTGCTGGAAGAACAGCAAGAAGAAGAAGAACAAGAAGAACATCAACAACTCTCCCTTGAAAGGCACAACCACCACAGACCATAAATCCAGCAATTGCTTCTTGTGTTAGACCAAGTTGAAACCAATGCATTTTCCAATGATCTTCTCTAGTATTGTATAGTATGGGCCACCCATTTCTGGAAGTGCCACCAATTGTTCATTTTAAATTCAGATATGCAGCCATCATGAATAGCGCTCAATAATCAATAACCCACTATAACAAGAACCCCCATGTGACCACAATCTTCTCTTTATTAGGAACACAATGGTGTGCTTATTTCTGTTAAAGGCTGGTTGGTGACAAAGTTAGAGGTCTAACTGTCTGTTCAAGACTGGAACATTTATGTGTTAAATTATAGTACTGGTGCGCATTGATTTTGGGCCCTTTTTTTACCATGTAATGACTACTAGTTAGTAGGCTCAACACATTCCAGTCCCACAAAGGACACTTTGCACCTTAACAGACCAACTGCTCATTAAATTAGGCAACTAATCATGTGAACTAATAATTTGGTAAGACACTACTAGTACCTTCATTCACTTCTTCTGTTTCCACCACAGTTGATGGGAAGGAACAGGAATGGCAGCAGACACATTTCTCCATGCTTTAACACAATGCATCAATCTTTCTCTTCAAATTGATTGAGAGCAACATATCCAGTGAGGTAGGAGACCCCTCCTTCTAAAAATGGAGGCTACTGAAAAAAGCAAGCAGCAAACCAAGCATGAAACTGAGCTGCAACACAAAACACCAGACTTAATTGTTGATGACCTCCATATGAATGTGTATCAACAATACTACCCTGACAACTCCCCTGATCCAGCCCCCCCATGACACACAGGAGCACTCCTCTTGTTTGGTTGTCCCCACCCAAAGCAGAGGGTAAAATTTAACAGGAGGAGAGAAAAAAAAGAAGGCAAGGCATTGTGGGAGTGACTATCAAATAGTGATGTAAATTGAGTGCTAGAAGAAAAGTGAGTGAATGCTCATATCAAGGATTGGCAAACTATGAAATCTAATATTGATCAAACTAAGGATTGAGTGATATGTGTGAATCAAATGAGTCAAGTCAATTGTGTGAATCCATAGGAGCGAATGAGTCATGAATGTAGAGTGTGTACGAATCATAGATATGTGCCATATGTATTTATCATAGATATTAATCATACCCATGATGTGATACCGACAGCATCCAGCTGTGATCTGTGATGTGTGAAGCAATCAGATCATAGCAGAAAGGACAAGGAATGAGGATAACAGTTGGGTGGAATCGTTGTCTTTGTACAACACTGATGGTTGTTGTTGAGGAAATCTGAGGTCAGCAAGAACTGACCTGAGGTATAGAACAATTTTTGCGGCAGAAACAGCAGTATGAAATTCTGCTTTAGTTGAGCTTTGAGCAGTTTGTGTTTGGGTTTTCAATTTGTATACAATGGCAGCTTTTGCTAACATAATTGCAAATCCAGTGGTAGATTTTTGTTTTGGTTTTATATCTGCCTAAGCGGCATCAACTACGCGGGTGATGGTGGTGTTTGTAGGTAAAGATGGAAATGGTGGAAGATTATCCAGTAGTGGTATGGGCAAATCTTGCCATTTGGTAGTATATTGTCTGGTAGGACTGTGGATTTGCGATATCAAAGACCCCACATTTTTGTCTGGCAAAGATATAGAGCAACACCTTTAACGTATTTTAAATGTATGCTAGATGGATGTTGGGAGAATTTTGACATTGTAGATACTGCAAATCCAATATCAGGGCAGTATACATTGTATGCATAAAGCATTTCACCAAGAAGTGTTTTGTAAGCAAATCCAGATTATTGTTTCAAGTTCTTGTGTTCTGGAGATCCTTCAGGCAGACCTACTTCAACAAATACTAAATCTAATGCCTTTTGGGGCAAAGGACCAGTGGGATGACTGAGTAAAAAAAAAATTTAATATTATATTTTACCTCGTGAACTAGGAGAGGCACTATATGGCCAGAACCATAGCTTTTGTTAGAAAGAATGCTCCTAGCTGCTCTGAGGGGCAGCACTTCCCTCCGAGGAGTGTTGATGGAAGTGCGACCAGGGGTTTTTCTGCTGGATTTAAAAGTATTGTTGGATCTTGGTTTGGAGTAAACTGGAAGAATTGACCGGAGGACCCGGAGACGTATCTGGCACGACTGGCTGCTTGTGTCTTTTCTTTTTGGAGTATGCGTTGAAGACCAGCAGGGCTTGTGTGACACTCTCCGGAGGTTCTTTACTATGTGGCAATGATGTAAAGTACTGGATTATTGGGCGGGTGTTGGAGACTGAAGCACTTGTAGCTTGGGAGACACTCGCCAGAATCGTTTTCTCATAGACTCGATGGTAATATGAGAGCATAGAGGTAGGAGTCTTCAATAAGAAGGCTTCCATATCTGCTGGAAATAGGTGGGCATGTGGGGATGACTGAGTAGTTCATCTTTCAGTGTTGTCCAACAATGAGATACTGCAATTCTATTAATGTAGTCCTCACAAGAAATTTCAATGTAATCTTTTGTTTGTTTTATATTGGCGCTGTTGTAGGGCTTATCAAGTCCCAAATTTTTGAATGGTATTTGCTTTTCTTTTGTGAGTTGCAGTTTCTTGCTGATGATACCGTAGATTCCATTTGAAAGAGTGGCATTTGGGGACAATATCAGAAAATCATCCACTTGTCATAACATTATGATTTTTGTATCTTGGTAGTTTGTTTGATAGATGCACTTGTCATGAGTTGTTGTCGTGAATTTGAGTCTGATAAATAAA